ACACTGGTCAGGACGACAGTGAGTCGAAAGCAACCATCGCAAACGACAAGCGTTCTCCTTTTCAATATCAATCTGATCAGAGAGAGATTTCTGACGTTTGAGGTTAGAAGGATGTTAGGTTTACGGAGGCTGTGCTTTCACCTCGTTAACCTTGAGTCTGTAGCAGAAGGCGTCATTCGTCCTAGTAACAGTTTTCAAGATACCTGTCATTTTCAAGGCAGTACAGCGAACAGACTTCTACCGGTGGTTCTAGTGACGTCTCTTCAAGATAACCTACTGCGCGTGTGCGGAGCAGCAACATTTAGCTGTGAGTTCGAACCTAAATTGACGGTACGCTCTGATGGTGCAGGAAAAATTACCGATTGCATTGGGAATCCAGGGCATCTTGAGATGAATAAAGTGGTCTTTCGATTACGCAATGGAACTAAATTGAGGATGATTTTGATCTCCAGAAGCAGTCGGACCATAGATGAAGGTGTTTTCATGACTGCATCTTTCAAACTACTGGACATGGATTCCACATCAAGAGGACTGACTGCTCTGTTACCGCTGCAAGAGAGTCGAGTTGTGCCTCCACTGCCATTCACTTGTGGCGCTACCGAAGAAGGCGTCAGAGATAATAGGCAATTTTTGTCTCTGCTTGCGCCAAGAGATAAGAAGTCGAGAGAAATCGAGTTCCAAAATTGCCCAGTCCAGAGAATCGAATTCCAAAACCTCAACAACGGCCTTAATAGTGGCGGAACAACTACGGACAGGTTTCAAGGATTTCTACATCTTCCTGATGGGGATGTATCTACGGGACAAAAGTTGCACGGACTGATAGTCAGTCCTCAAGGATTACATACCCGTGTTGATGAGATCAACTTCAGTGAAACCTCGCCGCTTTCTGCCATTGTAGGATTCAACACAGATGCCTGCACTGTTCACTGCAAGGCGCAAGTTGCTGTTGCATTCAAGGAAAAGAAAAAGTGGAAAGGTGGTGTTATGCAAGCTGACGACAAGATTAGCCTCGGCGTTCACGACTTTAAAGGTGCTTGGCTTCGTGCCGTAACGTTAATGCTACAATTTTGGCAAACTGATTCTTGCGTAAGCAGAGAGGTGCCAACTTTTTGCCGAAAGAAAAAAAGCAAAAAGGGAATTATCTGTCTACAAAATGGTCTCTCGCAGAATTCCATAGATATAAATCGTTTTGTCAATAAAAGCACTTGTTGTGGCAGTCAGCTTGAGAGAGACCATGCCGTTGCTGACGTGCATCAAGCAAAAATGTTGAAAAGCCTTAAAGACGATGCAGTGGTCATAAATCTACTTCAGGATTGCCACAACAGTAGGGATGACTCTTCAGTCTGTGCTATGAATGTAACTGAAGCGCGAGAGCGTTGTTGCGGTCAAGAAGTCCTCCCAGGAGCGGTACAGGTCATTCATTCAGAAGCTGGTCAGAGTGGACTGGTTAGTCCACAGCATCACCAGCACAGCAACTCAGTTAACTCCGATGAGAACGACTTTGATGAAGAAGCAGAAGATTTTAACGATGAATCAGTCTTAGATTCACTGGAGATAGAAGACGAAGATCAGTTAGATATGATTCTGCAAGATGTGCAAGATGATTTACAACAAGCGAATAACGACCTGATAGGGAATGAAGTTCCTTTTGCAGCTTGGTTACCTGATATAGGACAGGGATACCAAGTATTTCCGGTGCCTAATGATGAAGTCCCTGAAGGACATGGGGCACCTCAGAATTTACTAAACGATGTTCAAATGGAACAGCAAGCACCAGAAGGTGAAGAAGACGCTGGAGAAAAATGAAGTTGGTGACAACTTCTTCCAAGGACAAAATGTTGTTAACGGTGATGTTATTGTTCCCTGGATACAAGCACAAAATGGAAATCAAGTTCACGATGATGAAGTCCCATGGGGACAGGAACCAATGCATAACCAAAATGCAGCATTCGTGGCACTTGAAATTCCTGCTAATGCTCCACAAGCACAGGGACCACAAGAAAATGCCGGACCTCAGGATGAGGCACCTCAGCATTTCCCCATTCAACAGCAGCATCTTAATGCAGTTCCAAATGTAAATGAAAATGGTGCACAAAATGATGTACCTGATGCTGATGGTGCTGATGAACACCTTGCTGTTCAAGCACCCCCTCCTCCACCTCCTCCTCCACAGTTGCCACCGCACGAGGAACACCCTCCACAACAAGTGCAAGCTAACCGGTCACTGAATAGACTAAGGGCCGCAGCAAGATATATAAAGCGTAGGTTTACATGGAATCGCCACGGGAACACTCACCATGGAAACCCACTGTACGTTCCTGGCGCACCAAGAGAAGAGCGCGCTCCTCTCGGTCTTGAGGAAGCGCCTGCACTTCCAGGGGATCAGTTGATACAGAACGGGGTCCAAAGGGTGGGCTGTTTTTCTGCCTGCTTCGGGTTTCTCTTTCGCAGCCGGAGAAGTGCGTCAGTACAAGTGTACCCCCAACATAGTGAGCAAGCACCTGAGTTTGAAGAGGCCGCCCCAATGCCACATGAGGTTGATGAAGAAGTAGAAGAAGAAGACGAGGAAGCAGATGCGGAACCTTTAGAGGCAGTGGAAGAAATTCCACAGCAAAATATTGTACTCATATTTTGATTTTTATCCACATGTTTTTGTATTTGTAAAATAATTAGAGAAAAGAATAAAAGATTTCAAAAAGATTTATTGTCAGTATAGTATAAGTTCGATTCCTCAGGGTGTGATCTACGGGCTGGTTTTATCCTTCTGACGTAGTTCAGTGCAATAAAAAGTTTGCTCTTGATGGGTTAACTGCGGTGGTTACCTCAAAAGCTAAGCTCCTCTGACCACCGTACACTTCTATCCAAGCCATTAATTTTCTTTTTTTCTTCCTCTTCTCCTTTATTAGTGTATTCATACCTTACTATATATAATGTAAATATTTTATAAAAGTGTGAGTAAAATTGAATTGAATTATAAGCCCTTGTCTTATACATCTTAAGGATTTTCCTGAGGGCTTATAAATATAAACGGAAGGGCTTATATCTGATTGGAGTTTAAAACTAGAACTGAAATAGCACTTTCAAGCACGCTATAGCAGCGCTGATCAAAACATGTACTTTCTGGTTTTTTAATTAAGCTTAAAACGTTGTCACCAATCGAATTCAAGAAAAGAACAGCGAAAGAGGGGGCTTATGTCAGAGCCCAGGGGGGTACTCCTGCGAATTCTTGGTGGGGGTGTGCCGCCGATTCTCCAAATCCTGACCCTATTTCAAACCAAGAAAATATGTCGTCACTATTCAGATAAGAACGCCAACAAAAAAAAGTTTCTTTAAATCCGTTTTGAATTTGCATATTTTTGTTTTAGTTTCTTACTCATTTGGAATTGAATTCCCCGAAACTATAATACGTTCATTCACTCCCTTAGTTTCCTCGATAACAATACCCGATCCCAGACCAAAATTGAATGGGCAAAGTCTATACCCGTTTTCAGACCAAAATGCAGCAAAAACCATACCCTTTGGGGCCGGCACATACCTATATGGTTTCATGATAGGGGGATACCTGCCGGGGTGTTCGAGGGGGCTTGTAGTCGATACAATTTTTTTGTTTACCGGTACGGTAAATGGGCCCACAACGAAGGGGGCATATCAGTTGGGGGAGGGTATACAAGTGTTAGTTTACGGTATTCCCTCGCTGAAATAAATTCTGATCTCGCATAGTATAAACAATTCAGTGGAAGCGGCTTTGTAGCCTGCGTAGCAAGCGTTTCTGTGCGGTTTAGGAGCAAAGAAGGAGGAACAAGAGTCAAGGCTTGTTGCGCATCAACTCAAAGCCTGGCGCGTGGGCCAAAAAATGTTTTCGTTTGTATTGGATGCCCTGAAGTGCTTTTGAATCGGGGCCAGATACATATGCTTCCGCAAGTACTGTTTCCTATTTTTAGCCACTCCCTTACTTGTAGTTTCCTTGTCAAGCTTGTAGTAATGTTAGTAAATCGACTACTTGCGGAAATTCCGAATTGATGGTCATCTGAGATGATGTTGGCTTAGCAAAAACAAACTAACCATCTCGAGTCTGGCAGTTTAATGAAGACAAAAAGGTTCCGTTGAGTCTAGACTCCTTTAAAAGCGATTAATCGCTCGAATGATTAAGAAGACTCTGGCAATCCTATTCTCGGCTTGCACTGTCAGGCAATGAAAAATAAAAATGCAAACCATTCAATACAGAAGGACTAGAATCTGGGAAATGAAAAAAATATATATATACAAAAACCCCTGCCAAGAATCAGGTCTGTGAAATACTTCAAATGCGAGGTATTGGGAAAAACGGTTTACCTAAATTTATAAAGCTTTGTATGGAAACGCCATGTTGGTGTCCCTTTCAGGAACACCAATTATGGCCGCTGGATACCAACAGAAACATCTGTTTTCGAGTTTTCCTACTAATGCGTGAATTCTTTGCTTGAGGAACTCATAAAGATTACAGTAATATTTATTCTGAGACAGGGAATGTTTAGATTGCAAAATCTCCCAAAATCGGTAATGTTTTTAACCCACATAAGAGCTTTCCCGGCCGCCAGCAAAATGCCTCGTCACGCAAAATCCTGGAAATTCAAGCGTCCTCTCTCGCAAAACGAAGAACCCTTTCGAACCAAAAATTTGTTTATGTAAAGATGTTTAAGTACTGTAATACCTCGGGAAAGTAGAAACTCAGAACAATCGATAGTTTCTTAGTTTGATTTTTGGTGACGTCACGTGCAAGCCAAGAATTAAATTCATATTTTATCCTCGCCACCGCCACGCCGCCTCTCTGCCCACTCCACAGGGCACCCAGGTTATCAAGTTTATTATAGCTTGTCTAAATGGCGAACCAGCTGATGAAAACGAACGTCCACTGATAGCTCCCTTCGAAAAATGTTGTTTGAGTGCAGTCTTCAACTCAAGTAACGTACAGTATTGTGTCTTTGAGTCTCTTGCTGTTAGCACCCTTTGAATATTTGTGTGAAAACTTTAGGACTTGTCACGTGGTTTTATTGGCTGTTGTCCAATCAAATCGTTCAAACGTGTAGTTTGTATTGAAGAAGAGGGTTTCCAGCTACAGCAAAGGAAGCAAGCACACTGCTTTCTAGTCATAGTTTGAGAGTGGTTTCTCTTTGAACTGCCTTTTCATTCACGCAATCTGGTGTCAGAGGAGGAATTTAATCTGTGAATCGTTCTAAAACTTCATCTCGTGTAAGTGCCAAAGCCATGGGTCGAGGTCAGTTTACTCGCGACAGCAAATGCTGTCGTTGTTGTAGTTCGTTCTGTCGCAGAGTTCGAACTGATTTACTACTTGTTCTTATTGTAATTGGCGTTGTAATCGGGTTTGTGATCGGAGCTCTTGTGAATGGCCCCGTTAACGACATCGAAGACGTGGAGGACAAGAAGACAGTTTTGATGTTGATTGGCTTTCCTGGAGAGCTTTTTATGAACATGTTAAAAATGCTCATTCTACCACTGATCGTTGCCAGCCTGATCTGTGCTTTGGCGGCGCTAGATGCGAAAGCCACGGGCCGCGTTGGAAGAAGAGCCCTCCTATACTACTTCTCCACTACGATCTTGGCCGTCATTTTGGGAATTGTGTTGGTGGTGAGCATACGACCCGGAAAAGGCCAAAGCAGCGAGGCAGAAAAAGAAGTGGCCGATTACAGAACGTTGGATGCTTTTCTAGATCTCATCAGGTGAGATTGTTTATTTAATTTATAATATCCTAATAAGCTCACTTATGAGCAAATTACTATGTGATAACTTTATCAGTTGGAACCGATTCATTTCCTTGTACTGTTTATAATATCATCAGCAACCTGCTTTCGCACCTCCAGAGTTTGTTTACGTCCACGTTTTTGGCAGGATTGAAAAACCGATATTAAAATGGGCTTAGATCGGCTGAAGATCACAATTAACATTTAGTTGCGATTTAAGCTGAAAATTAGTTTAAGCAAAAGTTTATGTCACTTTCATGGAATTCCCTTAATGTTTAGTGATTCTTTCATTTTACTTTTGAGCAAGTTGCGCAATGTATTAAAAACACTTGTGCTTTTAAATTCACACCAGAGGTAGTTTCTCGTGTAGTACACTTTCGTAATATTTGTTTTTCAGTCTAACCGCCCCACTGGGTGAGGTTTCTCTTCATTTAGGCTGCCAAATAGAGGAGGTGCATGTAGAGGACAAACAATGCACTTATTTGCATCAGAATGGTTTATTTAAAGCTTTAATTAAAACCGTTGTGTGATCCCTTTCAATCTTTCTGTCTAACTGTTTCACGCAAGCTTTAAGGTTCATTTCTTCGTCCAGAATTCTCTGAGACAAACATACTTCGCGCAATGAATTGTAGCCATGGCCACACTTCTACGCATTATTTTAAATTATAAATTCACGTTGATTCTTCTCAGGTTTGAATTTCTTTTCCCTGAATTTTTTGTTGTTTGAAAGTGGCTGTAGCTGTGTTCTAAAATATCTTTGATCAACAAGACATGTACAGACTATGACGTTTCAGCTGTCTTGGAAGCTTAAGTATGTTCTATTCAATAAATGATTTAAGGCCCGAGAGCCTTCTGCTAGCTTTGGATGGGTCTTGAAAATCAAAGGACATGATGGGCTGTAAGGTTGCAGTCACACCAATGAATATCAAGGTCAGGTTATAATAACCCCATTGAACAAGGTTTTATCGTATTCAGGGGTCCTTGGCATCGAACACTGTATTTCACATGGCAGCCTGATCTCCCCCTAGTGCTGAAAAACATTTAAGCCAATCAAAAATTGGATCAAACATTGCACTTCACATGGGCCTGGAACTCATTAGTTAAAGCTACATGTAAGTACAATAGGCAACAGATGCCTGCAACGTGTTTTGCATCATTGTTGCAAAACAAATTAAAAAGTGATGTTGCACTGTTACTACCCGCAATTATTAACCTGTCAAATCAGGTTGTTGCTGTTTGGGAAAAGTTGTTGGAGAAAGTAGAGAGTATTTAGCTACTTTAGCTACTTTTTAGCTACTGATTTGTCACAAGACAGGTTTGATTTGTGTTCGCTAAAATGCACAGCATCGTTTTCCAGCTTGTTTTGTAGCAAATGTTGCAGAACAAGTTGCATGTCTTTGTTGCCGGTGTTACCCTACAATATGTAGCTTTGTCTTTGAGTTGGTCTCATGTATAGTGCAATCTTTGACTTAGTTTAAAGTTCAGCTGATTTCATTTGGATCATTTGAGGCATTCTTAAAGTGGAGATCTGCTTGCCATTGCAAAACTATAAGCCCATATAGATGTCTTCCCTGGTAAGAAGAACATGATTGATGAAGCAAAAAATGTAAACACTGTCTTAAATGTTTACTTTAATGGCCATGTATTATTGAAGAGCAATGGCAGTTTGTTTGTTTTCCTTTGTTTTCAAAAGATAATGTAAGTTACCTGTGCCTGCATACAACTCCCACCCACTCACAGAAAGAATACATATCCTTTACAGTATTACCAGGGTGCAAAGAAAATCATTTTTGCAGCTTGCCATTCGGGCAAGCTGAAGCTAGCATTTACTAACCCAGACGTCATTTTAACTAGCCCCCAAAACTTTTTGACTCGCAGAATTGATTTCACAGTTCTTCTGTAATTCAAATTCCTCATAAAACATCACTCGGCTATCGGGCAAGTTAAAAACAGAATTCACTAGCCCGATAGCAAAATCCATTAGCCCCGGGCTATCAGACACTACTTTCTTTGCACATTGATTACCCTCAAGACACAAATATCACCATTTACAATAATATTATTACTTTTCTTTTCGTCTTTGTGATCGTTAGGAGCTGTTTTCCCAGCAATATTGTTGCAGCTACCTTTCAGCAGGTAAAAATGACTGATTGGTTTATCACTGATCATTGAATTTATTCATTTATACAATAGCTAAGATAGTATGCATGCTCTGATTGGCCAAGAGGCATGTTTGCATGAGAGTATGTAAACATGGTTGTGACATCAAGATGTTTTGCTTTTCTTGTGCTAATCACGCAAGCTCGAATTTGAAAAGTTTTTGAGTTCAAAACTCAACAAGTTTTCTTTATTTACCCATTCCTTCGTTGGCTGAAACTTGGAAAATCTTGGCAAACAAGCTGTGTCAATTTTGTTTTTGCTTATACTGACATTTCTGTTTGTTTATTTTTTTTTGTTCAGAAAAAAACTAAATACACCTCTGCCGAGGACAAGATAAGTTACATCAATAAAACAATCAATGCAACAACTGGTAACTATACATTGGAAAAAGTGGTTAAGCCAGGTTCCAAGACTGTTCCTGATGGAACTATGACTGATCCTAAAGGGTCCTTAAATGTCTTAGGATTGGTTGTATTTTCTATTGTGTTTGGAGTTGTTTTGGGAAGAATTGGCGAGCGAGGCATGCCCCTAAAAGCATTTTTTGAAGCTCTGAATGAGGTGATTATGAAGATGGTTGCTTTGGTCATGTGGTAAGTTTGATGTCTAATACAGAAATGTACAACTGTAATTCGCTGCTGCCTTGATGGTTTGAATAGTTGATCCTGGAGTTACATCAGTTACATCATATTTTAAGTTACTTAATACTAATAAATATTATTATTATTTATAACACCCTTGAAAAGATGTTGATGGGCAATAAAGTACCTTAAATGCAGGCCGTCTGATATTGTGCGATTTTGCGCAATTGACTTCAAATCGCATCTGATCACACAATATGAGGAAAATTGCATAATTCGTAAAAAAAAAAAAAAGATGCTGAATTCAAGTAAAATAAACATTAAATTCTAACTTTAAGCAAACATTTTCCCAATCTTATTGTTTAAGGTAATTTACCACTAAAGAAAACCTTGCAAGACATCTAAAACCATCGACCGTGGCTGGGCATTTTGATTTCAGAGACAATCATTGTGGTCAGCAGTGTAACGGCATCATGTATTATTAAACAAGTGTCCTTTTTCTTTCTGTCTATTTGTTTTCTTTTCCATGTCAAGATAATTGGACAAATTTAACTATTTTGTTTTAAAATAGATGTTTCATTGTTCTTTTACATTCAAATTTGCCTGTTGAACAACATTATTTTTATAGTCCTATCTTATCGCACAATCTACCCTGAAAATATCGCACAATTTCTGATTCTGTCTCAGCAATATTTTTGTGGAATAAGTATAACTATAATATGCATGGAAACACTTTTTCAAGTTTGAACAAGTAAGGACGTGACTGCATAGCAAAAGTAGAGACAATTAGTTTAAATGACATTAGTTCATCAGTACATCTACAGTGTTTAGTCTAAATTTATTTTATTTAGACGGTAAAGTCATTTCTGATATTGCACCAACTATATTACTGTAAATGTTAAGCAAAACAATCATCAATTTATACAATACTCGGGGATAGCTGATAGAAATAATAGAAGTGACAGGTAAACATTTATAAAAAATGTCTCTTAAAGGAAAATGGAAATATCTACACTAGCTGTGTACAAAAATAAGGGAATGAAGTTAAATGATGTAAAAGCCAAGGGGAAAGTAAGTAACTTAGAATTAATTTAAAAAGATGAGGAATAGGACTTAACTCTTTCTCCAGTGACCCTGATCCTACCTTAACAGAGTTCAATGAGACTGCAGACCTGTGATAATCAAGATTCAGCCAATTCAAACCTAATTTTTCTGACTTTCAATGTTCATCACTGTTTTTTGCTTCTAGGGTTTCGCCGATCGGCATTTGCAGTTTGATAGCAGCTAAGGTGGCAGCAATGGACGACATCGTCCAATCATTAGACATGGTTGGAAAGTACATGGCAACTGTGATTGCTGGTTTGTTTATACATGCGCTTATCATCATACCATTGCTTTATCTGATAGTGGTACGCAAGAATCCTATCAGATATTTCATTGGCTTGAGGGATGCTATCATCACAGCATTTGGAACATCATCAAGGTTGGTACATGTACATGAAAAGTTGACATTTCTTATTACAATGTAGGTTTCCAAATTTATAAACTGCCATAGAATATACATGTATTACATGTAGAATGGCTTTTCTCAATCCATGTAATGATGATAATGATGACGATGATGATATTAATTCTTAAAAATCTTCCCATTCAAAGCCCTTAGAACCTCTTCTTGTAAATGACCACCTCTTGTAAGCAATCCCAAGTCTTCTTTTTGTACTGCTGGTATGGTTTTCCATTGGTTTTAACCCATTGAAAGTGACCACTTGACTCATGGTGCGGTCTCTTTGTTTGCTGTAATGTACTATAATGCCACTCAGAGCATACAAAGAAGTACTTTCACTGATGTATACATAACTTAGAAATTGCATGCAATAATTTCTCTGCCAATAAGTAGAATGTCTTGCGATCTCCTCTCGGAAGACACCACCCTGTGGTGCGATTCTCGTAAGTGACCACTATATTTTCTTATTTCGGGTTGTCGCTTACAGGAGGTTCAACGTGTATAGAAGTTTAGCAGGGAAATAAGTATTGACATTGCATTAAGTTTAACTGGACCCTATTTTCTCTGTCCGTGCAAAAGATTTTTAACGCCCATTACTGCATAAGATTAAGCCTATAAAATTAAATATGTACACATAAGTAACACGCCATTTTATTATTGACTCTCTCTAGTTCGGCGACTCTGCCCACCACCATGCGCTGTATTGAGGCTCATAACAAGGTTGATCCTCGTATCAGTCGTTTTGTGTTGCCGCTTGGTGCCACAGTGAACATGGATGGAACAGCGCTTTATGAAGCTGTTGCTGCTGTGTTTATTGCACAGGCCAATGGTATTTCATTGAATGTTGGACAGCTGATTACGACATGGTAAGATACTGTTAAACTTATTTAACCTTCATAAACTTAAAAGCTTCCTGATGCCAAAAGTAATATTCATACTTTTTCATTTTACTGCAATAATATCGATCTCCTAAATCTTTTGCAATTATTAATTATTTGTGGAATAATGATTATTCCATAAATAATCTCAAGCAAAGTTAACACTAAGATAATGAAAAAACAAACGGTTCTAATACTAAAAAGTCTTTAACTTTTAATATTTATTAAGTTATCCTTTCCAAAGAATACAAGACATGCAGTGATTATAATCTTTACACCTTGCCTATCTAACTTCATCTTCCACAGTTAAAACTGCGGGAATCTTGGCTCTTTGTAAGGCACTTTTCAAATTGTGTATCAGATTAGTCAGCTAAAACTGTCAAGATTGAGAGAAAAATAATTTTGGTCAGGATGTTGGCTTTGAAGAGCCCTTTCGGTGACATTCACTGTTAGTATACCTGCCAACTCTCACGCCTGCGGGTTGAAAACTTCGATCTCACGCCGGCTCACGCCTGCGGGCCAATTTCTCACGCCTGATTGAAAAATGTGAGTTGTTGCCGTCCTGCTTGACACAATTTCCAAACATATGTTAACTCAGACCCATGTAAGGAACGAAAACCATCTGTAAAATGAATAAATGGCAGTACCTTCCTCGCGATCTCTGATTTTTGAAGTGAAAAGCACTGGGAGCGAGCTCGCCTTTGGCAGACTTATGCAGACTTCGGACGTCTTCGGAAGACTTCGGACTTCTTCGGGAATCTTCGGAAATGATCGTGTCGTCTTCAAAAATCCCAGCACTCCCAGGATAAAAATCTCATGCTTATATCTCCGAAAAAGTTGGCAGGTATATGTTAGTAAAGCCAAGAACACTTGCAGGAAGAGTTAGTCATCAAATTTTTGTATATTCCCGTTTTACAGAGTATAAATTATTATTTTTTCATTAAAGCATCACTGCCACTGCAGCCTCAATTGGTGCTGCAGGAATTCCACAGGCAGGCCTGGTTACCATGGTGCTTGTCCTACAAGCTGTTAATTTACCTACTGAAGACATTGGTCTCATCCTAGCTGTTGACTGGTTTTTGTAAGTAGATGTTACTGTACTCAGACCTCAAAAATACTCACACCAAAGGGACAGACCAAACAGGGCATATTAAAAACCTAGGGGTGTTTACATACACAGCCATTTTGAGAAAGGTTGTTGGAAAAAGTGTGCACTCGACTATTTCAAAGGGTAATATGGGATATACTGTTCTTGACACTGCTTTTGTTGCTTTCCTTTAGCACTTGCAAACATATATCCGTGGTTTCTTGTGCCATTCTTTCAAATTTCTTTGAAAAACAGTTACGTCAAAACCACCCATATTACCTCCCGGGATTGTTGCGTGAACTTTTTCCAACAACCTTTCTCAAAATAACGGTCTATTACTCTGTCTTATTGGACATTGCTGTAAGTTGACATCTAGTGTTGGCCCTTGTTATTCTCTAGGCTTTTTCTTTCACTCTTTGTGAGTGCTGTTACCAAGGTTTCAAGTTGCCATGTACAGTTCGTGTGATACGTACATATGTGTAATAGAAGTTAGGGAATTCTCTTGGTACCATTCGGTTTCCTTTGATTCCTATGAGTTTTGAATTTACCCCATTTTTCTCAAAATTGTTACCTGTTTTTGATCTTAGTAGGCAAATGTATTTCAACACTGACAAACTATTTTGTTATTAAGGAGCAAATTTTGACAGTCTGTATTTCATATAAGACTAAGTAAAATGCCCTAACGGCTCACCCATGTAATAATTTGGGGACTGGGTGAATGTGTGTTTATGGGTGGGGAGGGGGGGGGGGGCTGTAAAAGAAACTACATGTACCTAAAGATTTGAGATCTCAAGTGTTTTGCATTTCTGTGGGTAGGGAAACTGCAATGAAAACATAACGTGTCACTTGAAAAATCAAATGTTTTCTTTCATTCCCCATTTGCAGAGATCGTATCCGAACAGCTGTTAATGTTATGGGTGATGCTTTTGGAGCCGGTATAGTGGAGCACCTTTCACGGGATGATTTGATGAGCATGGATTTTACGCAGCGTGAAGATGCTGTTCCACTGGAACCATATGAGCGATATACACCTAAGAAAGAAGAAGCCAATGATGTGCGAGCCAGCGATGCTTCCCTCCGGGCGACTGACTTCTGAAAATGATGAAAATGGTAGCTGTTTACAGTCATCAACTAAGAAACCTGCTACTAAGAACCCGGTAGGCTAAAATTTACCAGTTAGGCCCCCTCTAAACAAGAACCTCTTTAGCCTAAAATTTGAAACAGGTTCTTATTTTCTGAAATCTATAAAAAAAAAGGCTGTACAATAAGATATCTTGTAAGTCAACATTCAGGATCCTCTATAGAGCCTTGTCACTCCAACTCGTTGGTGCCTTATCACTCCAACGCAATTTAGTGGTATGCAAATTTGATATAATTATAAGGAATAAGCGAAATACCACTAAATTAATGCTCTTAGCTACAAGGTATTTCTTTCTTCAGAAAATATTAAAAGATATCCTAAACGTGTACTAATTACCATTTATGTAAGAACCTGTTTTGGCTAACTCGGGAAAATGTTGGTTCTTAGTTGTGGGTTTTTACTTGAAGCCCTATAGTGTACTAAGTTAAAATAGTCAACCTGTTCTGGTTATTTGTTACTTACGGTATGTGAAGTTAAAGCTCGCATGCCAAATATGGAACTGTTTGCTAGTTTTTAGCTGGTCTATCTTGAAAGGGAATACAACACCTTTTAGAGAATTCTACTTTGGTAATTTGTTAGTTAAAGGCAGAACTTATGCATTTGTATAACTGGGGAAATAATCAACTATTATTGATGAATAATTATTTAGCCTGCATAGCAGTTATTGCATGGGGAAAAGGAGCATGGGATGTGAGAAAGAACCAAAAAATAGGCCAGCGTGGGGAGGGTGAAGAAAGTGTACATTTGAGTGCAAACTGGAGCAGTGAAAAATGCAGACTGTGCACTGACTGCGGACCATTGTTTTTAGCGTTAGAAAACAATGGGACTATTGTTGTCATGTACTCATTTGCATGGTGAAAACAATAGTTTGCAGACTGTGTTTTACGCTGACCGATTATATAATTATAGGTGGTCAACCCACCTAAATGCTTCTTCATTGCATGTGAATATTTACCTTATATTGTCATTGGTGGATTTCCATGTAAAAATTTGACTTGAGAATCTGTGCCCACTAATGAAAGTATAAACTGACATAATAAGCAGAGTTCACTGACTGTGCAAGTAATTAGATGTTAATCCTGATGGGATAGAGGGAAATTTGGAGCATATGACTTATACTGTCAATACGATACAAGCCTTGATTTGACTTGAAAGAGATTTTGTATTGTTCAAGATGGTTTTGAGAAATTTGAACCACTATTTTAAAACAATTTTGGAAACAATCTTTTTTTTAACTTTTTACAGAGTGTACACAACACACTGCAAACAAATTGCTCCACAGATATCCAGCATTCCTTTATCAGGGTTAAGAAGTCAGCTAATTTAGTTTTTCTATCTGACAAATAGGGTGAACGTTTAGCCATTTCTCAGACTTAAGTGTTTGGTTTGGCTAAGTCATGAAAGAAGTGTACAGTTGTAGAAAGTGTACAGTAGATTTTTAATGAACCAGTTTCTTTTCTTGTGGTTTTCGCACAAGACTAATAGTATAGGCCATTGGTGAGTTGCCCAATCCTCTGTTTCTAATCTAACTAAATTAGCTGTTCTAGAAAGGAGCTGGTTCTAAAAAAAGATTTGGATTGACAAGGGATAACTACCGAATTGTAATGCTATTATATGCCCCAAGCTGAGCAAATTGAGTGAAAAGTTCTTCAAGCTTAAATGCGTTTACTTTTAGCCCGAATTTCAACCGTCTCCTCGAGACGCGATCGCGAGGAGACAACTGAAATTCAGGCAAGTTTGCTTTCACAAAGCTCATAAATTCAAAGCTATCAATAACTGAACTAAACAAAGTAGTTTAATCTTTTGATCTTTTGCAATAGCTTTTATTATTATTATCATCATCTTTCAGTGGGAGGTGAATAACATTTAGCTCGCTTTATAACATTTGGCAAAAAAAATGTGGAAAGAAACCTTTTCGAGTTAACTTAAAAAGATAACCATAGAAACTTACAGTCTAAATAGTAGGTATTGGAAATGTAGTGTACTTTTAAATTTTTAGGTTTAGTATTTTGCTTATTATAACGAAAAAATAATAAAAAGGGCTAAAGCTAAGGCGGGGAAAGCAGCCATTAGGTGGGTAGATGCTATGAATAGATTCAATCCAGCTTCAGTGGCGGATCCAGGGGAGAGACCCAGGGGGGCCCTCCTCCCTCCTTATTTTTAGACCAAACTGAGGCCTGAAGGGCTGAAAAAATTTTTTCGGAGACTGCCCCCCCTACCTCAAGGTCTGGATCTGGCATAGCCTCCCCGCAGACGTCCTTTGGGGTTCGTTGGTCACGCATTCATTTTTCCCCCACGGACCGTCCGTGGGGAGGCTAGATCTGGAACTGTATTTTCAAAGCACACTGTTTTCTTTTTTTCGTTTTTTGTACTAGGTTGTTCTTAAAGGAGCTGTGTGACGAAATTTATCATTACTCAAAATAAAAATAGTGGCAACTGCCACCAAATTGAGGGAAACAATAATAATAACTGCTCAACACGCTAAAAAATTGAATTAATAGCACAGCAAACACAAAAGGAGGCACAGATGGACAAACTATACTCAGTATTGAGAAAATCTCATTCTCCTAGTCGTCCTCGTCTCAGAATCTAAAGCTCTCTGTTGTGTCACCTCAGGAACTTTGTAAAGAAAAGTAGCATTATTTGCAGTCTAACCAAAGCAAACAAACTTTGCAATGTAATTGAAAATAAAGGTTGTTTTCTTCTGAATTTTATCACTTACTCTCTTTCACTTTCTATAAACTCTAAAAAGGGGCCGACCATTTATTTCTTTTTATTTAATTTTTCGCAGCCCTTTTTAGGGTCGTCACGCAACGCTCCTCCCCCAAAACGACTGCTTTCTTTCGAACTACATTCCTTTCCCTTATGTAACTAATATTTGGTTCTCATATCCAAACTATTCGCGACGTTGGGAACACGTGTCTTACATTGGGGAAGAGCGTTGCGTGACGACCCAAAAATGGCTTCGGAGGTGACTAAGGTGGGTTATATCGTTCGCGTTTTTTTTTTCTTCACGCCTACTAGTGAGAGGCAATGGTTTCCTTTAGTTAGTATATATGCAGGCGTGTGAATCAAGGGGCACTCACCATTTGTAAGAACTGGACGGCCAGACGCGTCAAGTCGAAAGGAGAATTCAACTATTGGACCGGACTATCAGCCAGATCAGTTAATCCCTAAATGGTGGTTTGCGCGGCAATGATGAGTTTTAGTAAAAATTTTCAGAAAAGGCTACTATTTCATTTTCCGTGACCGGTCTGGCCGACCAGTTCTGACTTTTGGAAAGCGCCCTAAGGCCCAGGCCAAACAACGAACTTTTCATGAGACGAACCAAAGTCTGTTCGGTCAGACGAGGTCGAACTTAGGACGTGTCGACTTAATCAACTGAATCAGAGTCTCCCGAACGAGGCTAAATATACATTATCATATGAATTTTTAATTATTAGTTTAGTTGGTCGCATGTGAAGATCGACGTTTGACCCGACTGACGATCTTAAACGCTCTTTCCGTCTGAAGCAGACGGATAGAACGTGTTGCACGATCCAAATTCATTCCGACGAAATAAACTGATCCAGGCGTCGAACTTTCTATGACCTAAACTCGTCTCATGAAAAGTTCGACGTTTGGCATAGGCTGTACACGGTTAACCCTAAACGTCGGTCCAGCATAAAAACCATTGGCCCTGTCTAGCTCTCCCTATTGCATTGGCCCTGACCCCTTTCTCTACACAATGACCAATCCCTTAATTACATTAATCGTCCTGTTGACAATGATTGCATAAAGCCAGACAATACTTTCTGACATTATTTGTTCGATCCCCACATGTTACACACCAATCCTGCCATCCCGACTTGTCAAAATGTTCTGGTATTTCTTCTAACCTGTATTCATCCTGCATCAAGTGAAAGACACGCGAAACTATGAGCGCGTGATTTGGGACAGGCTAAGCCATTCCCTAATAGACCTCTTTCATAATGGCTGCCAATTGATGTTTTCTTTTATATGTATGATAATTAGCCTTTCTGACCTTTTCAGCATGTGTAAAATATGAAAGAATCCTTATTCTCAAACGAGGCCAGAAAGGCTAATTATGATACATATAAAAGACGATAGCCAAGAAGATATTAAGGTAATACGCCGCCATATTGAAAGAGGTCTATGGAAATCATTTCTCAAACAGGTCGGAGGTACATACGCGCCAAGAAAACACAAATTTGACTTGAACATTCAAGTGGACTTCATGATCATGTACCTCTTTTCCATACTTTCCACCAAAACATTTTCCAGTAGATCTTTGGAAATTTCAAGGAATAAATTTTCCTCACACCGGAATAAGCCTAACAACAATCCAGCAAAATGAAAGCTTTAAAAATAACTCAAACGGCCGGGGAAAATGTCAAAGAAATCGCCCCATGTACTTGTAAGGTAATCCAAGATAGCCTTGAATTCTGGATTTCAGTGTGGATTCCTATTCCCCAGTACTGGATTCCAATGAGTTTCTTAGCCTTTCTTGTCAGTGGAGCTTGGATTCCCTATTTCCGAATCGATTCTTCGCCACTAGAACTTCTTGGATTCCGGATTGCACCAAACAAAAACATTCCAGCGTTCCGGAATCTGGATTCCCTTACTTGGAGAAAAGAGAAAAAGAAAGTCTCATCCTGCCTGTGATAAGCGCTGGACCAAGAAACCATCCAACCACAGGATTAGCACACGCAGATGTACCGGCGATCGTTAGCGAGGAACCAGTGATCTAGCCGGCTTTCTGTGTACCGTACAGATGCGTCGACAAACAGCGGTGGATTCTCATCTTGGAAGAATTCTAGTGTTCCTTTCTGCTGGCAGGCGCTTTGTTGCACTTGAGGCACGGCAGCTGCAGCAGTCTTCACATTTATGTTTGGCGCTAGCATCTCGCCAATCGTTAGACTCCACGGAGCACCCCTTGCAAATCAAAATGCAGCCGGGCTGTTCCGCTTCTGCGTGGCCACAATGCTCGCACTTCGGGAGTTCAGGAGCCTCCTCAGTGGCTGCATCTACAATAAACCCGAGAAGACCCGAGAAGACCCTTGGATGATGGAGAAACGTAGCGCACTTGAGAGGGAAACGGGAACGTTGACGAGAGTGCAAACTTCGTATACCTTTTAATCAGAAAGGTGCAATCACTGCAATGGCTACTCTTGATGATAACTGGCAGACAAAACGTTCAACTATCTGCGACAGAACCAGATTTATTTTCAATAACGAATTATTAAGTGATGTGAAGTTCGTATTTCCTGCGTCGCAGAACGAAAGTGAAAGGTGGAAGAGTCAGAAGTGCATACCAGCTCACAAATTTATACTTGCTATCATGAAGCATTACAGTGGTTTCGGTTTAGAGCCCTCTTTGCCATTCATGCATTCCCCTAGACGGCCTAGAACTGGGCTTTTGCTTCGATTTTACAGATTTGCTAAAAAAAGTTCCTCCCCCCCCCAAACCTGATGCCTGATGTTATATATGGTTCCTGGCACTACACTCGTGGTAAATCTGATGCCCTCAATCTAACTGACAGTAAGCCTGTTAATTTACATGGAGTGCAGCATCTTGGCAGTGAAGGTGGCAAATACACTGTTTCATTAGAAGTGAAAGATGTGACAAATCGTTTTTCTCTTGTAAAGAAAACAGGAACGTATTTCTCCAAGAAAGATGAGACAGATGTTTACTATGGATTTGATGTCATGTTTGATCAACCAATTTGCCTTGAAGCAGGCAAAGCATATGAGATTGTATCTCTTATCAAAGGTCCACTATGGTGGCATGTGACTAAGGGGAAGGAATCTGACGAAGTTCAAGGAATCCAGCTTTCATAAAGCAATTCACCTGCTTCTTTAAATAGTACTTGTGTAAGTAATGGCCAGTTTTCTGCATTTATTTTCAGCAGAAAGCAGTTTAGTCAGCTGATGACATTGTTACTTTATCATCGAGGTGGCAGTCTGCAAATTTTCATTTCTTTATTTAGGGAAAAGCCTCATAAAACAAGAGTCAAACAAGGCAGATTCTCTCAAAGAGATACCTGGTCCGTGCACACTTCGGCCAATCTAATTTTTCATTTTTCCAACAAAAACGGGAAAGGGACACATTACTTATTCTTATTATATTTACATATTTTAAAGTACCAAAAAAAATAGAAAAAAGAAAATGGTCAGGAAAATCGATCATTTTTCGTTTTTCTAATTTTGAAGTTAAATTCAAAAATACAAAAAATACTGTAAACGGTTAAAAGTGATATTTTGCTATTTTTTATTTTTTTGCTTTTGTTAGAAAAGTGAGGAAAATGAAATAATTTCCGATTCCTAGATGATTTTTCTATTTTTCCGTTTTTCCCAAAAAATAGAAAATCGGAGACTTTAGTCTTCTTCGCGGTTGTTTTTGGGGTCGTCAGGCAACGTTCCTTCGCACAAACGGCTGCTTCTTTCGAACTACCGTTCCTTTCCCTTATGTAACCGATATGCCTCTTGATGTGACCAATCCGAATTTGCTTCTCATATCCAAACTGTTCGCAGCGTTAGGAACTAGCCAATCACAGTGCGTGTCTTATATTGGGGAGGAGCGTTGTGTTACGACCCTAAAAACGGCTGCGAAGTTGACTAAGGTGGGTTATATGATTCGCGTATTTTTTTCTATTGGACCGGACTATCAGCCAGATCAGTTAATCCCTAAATGGTATGTGCGGTAGTGATGGTTTTTAATAAACATTTGCAGAAAAGGCTAATATTTCTTTTTTCGTATCCGGTCTGGCCGACCAGTTCTAATTTTTGGAAAGTGTCCTAAGGTCTAGACCAAACATCGAACTTTTCATGAGGCGAATCAAAGTCTGTTGGATCAGAAGTCGAAATTTGGACGTGTTGACTTCTATAATCAACTGAATCAGATCAGCAATAAATTTCTCCCGAATGAGGCTAAATATACATTATCATACAAATTGTTAATTTATTAGTTTAGTTCCTGGCATGTGAAGGTCGATGTTTGTCCCAACGGATTCTATCCGTCTGAAGCAGATGGATAGATCGTGTTGGACGATCCAGGCACATTCAGACAAACTTAAGTGAGCCATACGTCGAACTTTTACTGCCAGAATTATAGCTGGTTTATATCTATACATTATATAGTCTGTATAGTTAACCACTACCATATCCAGTTCATGAAATAGGGTGGGCTCGGAAGATGGTGCTGGCTTTAATTTTGAAGTTGCTCAAACTTCAAAAGCTGCTGAAAAGTTGCCGTGCAAATTTTATGTACGTGTACCTTATCTTTGTTATTCGTTACTTCTGCCGAATAAATCATAGGTGTAATAAATATGTTATTTTAAACACGGAATTACTGCTTTGTCTGGTCTGGCCCTATTTAATAGTCTATATGCGAAAAAGACTATAATTCAAACAAAGAATGGGTGACCTGTGCCAAACCCGCGAAGAACCCGGGTACTAGATTTAGAAACGTAGAGTACTTGAGAGGACGGGAAGGTTAACGATGGTGCAAACTACGTATACGTTGTAATCAGAAGGGTGTAATCACTGCAATGGCTACTCTTGATGATAACTGGCAGACAAAACGTCCATCTATCAGCGAGAGAACCAAATTTATTTTCAATAACGAGTTATTAAGTGATGTGAAGTTTGTAGTTCCTACGTCGCATAACGATTTAAGTGAAAGCCGGAAGAGTCAGAAGTGCATTCCATCTCACAAGTTTATACTTGCAATCAGCAGCCCTGTTTTCTATGCCATGTTCTACGGTGAAATGGCGGAGACTTCAGGCACTATTCAACTGCCCGACTGTGATTATGAGAGTCTCTTGGAGTTGTTTCGTTTTCTGTACAGCGATAAAGTGAAATTGAGCGGAAGTAATGTCATGCAAGTTCTCTACTTGGCAAAGAAATATCTGGTACCTTCACTCGCTGATAAGTGCACTGAATATCTTCGGGACCATCTAGAGGCGTCGAATGTGTTCTCTGTTCTGCCGCAGGCTCAGAAATTTGAGGATAAAGATTTGGAAGAACGGTGCTGGGAAGTAATTGAGACGCAAACCGAGAATGCTTTGACGTCGGAAGAATTTGTCACGCTTGAGAGGTCTCTTGTTGAGTCTGTCGCGAAAAGGGAGAGATTGAATGTAAAGGAAGTGGATTTATTCAAGGCTGTTGATCGCTGGGCCACCAAAGAAGTGGAAAGGCAAGGGCTTACCCTTGACGGCGTGGTCAAAAGAAGGCTTCTTGGAGAGGAAACTGTGAAAGCAATAAGGTTTCCAGTGATGTCGCAGAAGGAGTTTGCTTCAGTTGTTGTGGATTGTGACATTCTGACTAAAAAAGAGATTGGTTTGATGATGAAACATTACGGTGGTGTCGGTTTAGAGACTTATTTACCATTCATGCATTCCCCTAGACAGTCTAGACAGCGTGATGCTTGGCTTTTGCATCGAGTTTACAGATTTGAAAGTGTAAGCCAGCCTGAAATGCCGTGTGGTTTCTTTCGTGGCTCCTGGAACTACGCTCGTGGTGAATCTGATGCCCTTAAACTTACTGCCAGTAAACCTGTCACTTTACATGGAGTGCAGCATTTTGGTGAAGGTTACAAATGTTACAGTGTTTCATTAGAAGTGAAAGATGTGGCAAATGGTTATTCTGTGGCAAAAACGAGGGGCACGTTTGTCTCCAAGAAAGATGAGGCAAATGGTTACTATGGATTTGATGTCATGTTTGATCACCCTGTTTCCCTTGACCAGGGTAAAACGTATGAGATTGTATCACTTATCAAAGGCCCGCCATCGTGGCGTGTGATACACGGCAAAAACTCGGACGAAGTTGAAGGAATCCAGTTTTCATTCAGCAAATCAGCTTCTTCTAGGAATGGAACTGATGTTAACCTTGGCCAGTTTCCTTCATTTATTTTCAGCAGAGTGTCGTTTAATTCTTAACTGACGATATTGATAACTGTTGTCTGCAGACTTGTTTATTCATGGAAAAAGAACTTAATCAAAGAAGCCAAAGTCTCTTTTAGGAGTAACGAATCATATATTCCCTACCACCTTTTATTAGGGTTAGGCTGTATGCTGTCGCAGGGTGCAAAGAAAATCATTTTTACAGCTTGCCATTCGGGCAAGCTGAAGCTAGCATTTACTAGCCCAGACGTCATTTTAACTAGCCCCCAAAAACTTTTTGACTAGCAGAATTGATTTCACAGTTCTTCTGTTATTCGAATTCCTCAAAAAGCATCACTTACCTGTCGGGCAACTCGGAGTTAAAAACAGAATTTACTAGCCCGATAGCAAAATCCACTAGCCCCGGGCTATCGGACACTACTTTCTTTGCACGCTGTGTCGACACACTGGTAGCTGCACTTCACTGAAATGATTTGCTAAGCAAAACGAATAGCATGTTAATTTTCGGCTATCAAGTAGGACTGCGGAATTCTTTCACGTTTTATTACTACATTTAAGTTGAAGTAGTGAAGAATGAAATTGATCATGCGCAGAAAAGGTAAAAAGAGGAATTTTTGTTGCCCACTCCATTCCTCTCGTTTAACTCGACTCCTTGGTTTTACAGTGATAAGCAGTTTCAAGTTTTATCCCCCAGTAAGCTAAAATAAAAGTGAAAAGCAATTTAAGTGATAGCTGTTGAAGTTTATTGACGAAGTGAGATAAAATGTGGAAACCGATTGAAATCATTGCCATTTGTACCTTGGTGGCAGTTTGTAGTAACTAATATGAGTTACTAGACATATAAGCCCCTCCAAAAATAAGCCCCTCAAAAAGGGCCTTTGAAAAATATAAGCCCCGGGGCTTACTTTCGGAATTTTACGGTATCTTACAACTAATTATTAAAACCCTAATCAAGCGGTTGCAGTAACAAAGCCCATTTTTGTAGACCACAAAGTGTACAATTTAAATGGCAATGATCAATATATAGATTTAGCCAGGGCTAAAAGCGAAGCTCTGGTTAATAACACTTGTAAACAAAAAAAAATTAAATCGTGTAATGCTAAACGGGGAGGGCAATGAAAATGGCATCAAGATTAATAAATCTAATTAGCAAAAAAACAAATTTGCAAGTGCAGCACGCTTTTTTTCTTTCTTTGTCGTTGTTTTGCACAACTACAACGCTGTTTTGTAGGACTAAAACGTCAAACTTGCTAGTTACACATTATTTTTATAGAGAAATTGTCGTATGCGCTTACCCAAAAAAGGCCCGCCTTTTCCCGCCCCACCCATTTTTTAAGGGAAAAGCCCTGGGGACGAGGTTGTTCCTCAAAGTCCGGGCGGCCATGCGATTTCTTTCCAAATAAAACCTTGAGTTGCATTTGGGTTGCCATACCTGTTGATTGAATTATTTTACATTGGTATGCCTGTGGTGCGGACGATCGGTCGGTCGGTCGGTCGGCGTACGGTCACGTGATTACCAAATTTTCTCGGATGGGTAGTTTACCACATTTTTTTACCTATGGTGCTCCGCTGCGCGCGCAAGAGCTCCGCTATGACGTCCCTCTCTAAACTCGCGCCAGTCCCCTCGCGTAATATGGCATATGAGGTCGAGATTGTCCCTTTCAGTGTGAAAAGAGGACGGTGATCTAACTAATCTTTTTATCAGTGTAATTCAGTCGTAATATTTTCAAATATATTTATAAGAAAAAAATCTAGATATTTCTATAAGGGAAGGAATTAGGGAAGCCGGCGGGAGAAACAGAGGGAATTAATGAATATATATCAGAAACTCATAAGGGATTGAAACGTGTAACTCTCACATGTTTGCTTTGTCCGATACTCGTGATTATTCATTTTCGAAAGTACCATACTTGGAACGATGAGAAGAGATAACTGACCAATCAAACTTCGTAGACAACGTGACATAATTTTACTTCATGTTCCCGCGCCCGCTTAAAAAAATGACTAACGGGGGAAAAACTCCCAAAAGCCGAGAAAGCTTTCAAAGGTTGAAACCAGGAATCTTACGGAAATAATGAGCAGGATCAGGCTCCTGGCAGGATATTATTGCCTTACCACCCATAGAGTGCAAAATGTACCTGAAAATTCAGCAAAAACGTCGCTGCCTTGGTTGCATTTAACAGACCATGCGCTCCGCCGTGAAGAAAACAAGTTGGCTCATCCTCGGTGTAAGAACCTGTTGAACTCACGGGTCAGCACAGCACAATAGAATCTAGAAAAACAAAAGGTGCGAAACAAAGAAAAAGTATCACAGGTTCTTACACCGAGGTAAACCCAGCATTTTGCTAGTGACGGTGTCAAACACACAGTTTCATTAGAAGTGAAACTATGTGGCAAATGGTTTTTCTCTGGTAAAACAAACAGGCACGTATTCCTCCGAGAAAGAAAAATGGTTACTATGGATTTGATGTCATGTTTGATCAACCAATTTGCCATTGTATCTCTTATTAAAGGTACGCTATCGTGGTGTGTGACTAGGGGAAAAGAATCTGATGAAGTTCAAGGAATCCAGTTTTCATTAAGCCATTCACCAGCCTCTTTAAATTGTACTGGTGTAAGTGATAGCCAGTTTCCTGGATTTATCTTCAGCAAAATGTAGCCTAATTCTTAGCTGATGATATTGCTACTTTATCATCAAGTGGTACACTGCAAATGTCATTTTGTTATTTAGGGAAAAACCTAGCCTGTTCCAAGCGTTCAGATAGTGGAGAGCGGTGCGGAGTTAAGAAAGTGATGAAAAGTAGAGGGGGACTGGGGACTCACCTCTCCTCCCCCTCGCTTTTATTTTTTCGCGCTCCTTTTTACTTCGCACCGCTCCCACTATCTGAACGACTGGAACAGGCTAGGAAAAACCTCATCAAACAGGGCAGATTCTCTTAAAGAGATACCGGTCCGGCCACACTTCGGCCAATCTAATTTTTCATTTTTCTGACAAAAACGGAAAAAGGAAATACCTGTATTACTTATCCTTATCATGTTTACATATTTTAAAAAAGAGAAAAAAAATAGAAAAACAGAAAATGGTCAGGAAAATGGATCATTTTCTCATTTTTCTAATTTTGACTTTCAATTCAAAAATACAAAAAATACTGTAAATGGCTAAAAGCGATATTTTGCTATTTTTTAGTGTTTCGCTATTGTAAGAAAAGTGAGAAAAATGAAATAATCTCCAATTTCTAGTTCATTTGTTTATTTTTCTGATAGAAAAATGGAGTCTTTAGTTTTCTCCGCGGTAGTTTGTAGGGTCATCACGCAACATTCCTTCCCACAAACGGCTGCTTCTTTCGAACTACATTCCTTTCCCTTGTGTAACCAATATGGACTACGGGAAGGTTGACGAGAGTGCAAACTACGTGTACCTTGTAATCAGAAAGGTGCAATCACTGCAATGGCTACTCTTGATGATAACTGGCAGACAAAACGTCCAACTATCAGCGAGAGAACCAAATTTGTATTCAATAATGAGTTATTAAGTGAGTAAGTCTTCAGTTTTCTTTGCAGTAGTTTTTAGGGTCGTCACGCAACGTTCCTTTCTTACAAACAGCTGCTTCTTTTGAACTACATTCCTTTCCCTTATGTAACCAAATCAATATGGCTCTTGATGTGACCAATCAGAATTTGGTTCTCATATCCAAACTGTTCACAACATTAGGAACTAGCCAATCACAGCGCGTGTCTTATATTGGGGAGGAGCATTGTGTCACGACCCTAACGAAGGTGACTAAGGTGGGTTATTATTATCATTCACGTATTTTTGTATTGGACTGGACTATCAGCCAGATCAGTTAATCCTTAAATGGTATGTGCAATAGTGATGGGTTTTATAATAAACATTTGCAAAAAAGGCTAATATTTCTTTTTTGCATCCGGTCTGGCCGGCCAGTTCTGACTTTTGGAAAGCCCCCTAAGGTTTAGACCAAACATCGAACTTTTCATGAGACGAACCAAAGTCTGTTGGATCAGAAGTCGAAATTAGGACGTGTTGACTTTTATAATCAACTGAATCAGATCAGTAATATATTTTCTCCCGAACGAGGTAAATATACATTATCATACAAATTTTTAATTTACTAGTTTAGTTCGTGGCCTGGGAAGGTCGACGTTTGTCCCAACTGATTCTGTCCGTCTGAAGCAGATGGATAGAACGTGTTGGGCGATCCAGACTCATTCTGACAAACTTGAGTGAGACAAACATCGAACTTTTACTTGGGTTAATTTTTGCTGGGTATGTGCCGCTGGCCTCTCAGAGCCCCTACCCCATTATAGTCTATTGTCTGGCCAATTGTAGACCCCATCTAAGTCACTTTTGGGCAAATATGTAATTTTCGTGATCCCAACTTATGCACCTATCGATGTAAACCCCGTGGGGGGGGGGAGTACGGGCAAGGGGTGGGGATTTAGCCTGAGTATCAGGCGTTTCTGGGGGAAAAGGGGAAAGATGGAAGCGAAAACGGGAGAGAGCTGAAGGAGAGAAACGCCTGACACAGATGCTTTTACTGGAGCCTTCCACCCCCACACAGCATGATTCGATACCATCCAATCAAAATCACATCCGGTCATTGGGTTGTCAGCTTCACCTGTCAAAAAGCTCGCCTAAAATAAATCTCACCTTACCGCTTAAGGTCTGGCCGAGCTCCGCTGCTTGTATTGCTACGATTTCGCTTTTTCTGAAACCTCCAATGAGAAGTTTTCGAATACTTGTAATGGAAAAACTACCGTTTTTGAGGAATTAAAACATGTTTTAGGAATTGTGCTAATGTGAGATCGCCAACGCTCTGTTTGTAAATAAACGTGTGCCCGGAAAACTGTAAATTGCTTTTGTTTACAGAGTTACAACAGTGGTTCTCATTAATAATCAAGTTCCTGAGAGTCTGGCAGCTAAATAGCTGATGTAGATCAGGCCGAAAATCGTCCGAGGGAAAATCTAAAGTCAAGCTAAAGCCTTGGTGCTGTCGGCTATTCTCAATACATGGCTA